GATAATAATTGTGATATATAGTACAGGTGAGGGGCGTGTCCTGTGGTATATAGAACAGGTGATGGGCGTGTCATGTGGTATAAAGTACAGGTGAGGGGCGTGTCCTGTGGTATATAGTACATGACACGCCCATCACCTGTTCTATATACCACAGGACACGCCCCAACACTGAATGGAATAGATGTTTTGTTTGTTGATAAGAAAATGGACTTAAATATTGCTTTAATGACATGCATTTCAACAAATAATATAATGTTTTGTTGGAATCTTTGCTTTGTATGTAGGTCTTTGATAACCACCTTTGAGGGAGCATGGCTAATGAGTATTTTTGGAGTGAAGAACTGTTCACTTTTGACCAGAGTGTAAAACAGCATCTCTGGCAAGAGTGAGATATCGGCAACTGTTTCGGTATTTTTGGGGGAATGTCTAATCTGAAAAATAATCAGTAGAACTAGACAACTAGCAGCACCCTAGGGATTGTATGAATGACGAGCACCCTTTAAAAGTGAGTGAATGATCCCCATTTTTGTATGATTGAGCGAGTGGTTGTAATGTTGTATGATCGACACCGTTTCCATTGAGAATTACAGTGCAATCAAGGCATGTTCAATTTCCCTGTATCAATAAAACTTTGATTAATATAGTGTGTGTGGTGCAGGTTAGAGGAAGTTAGAAATAGGGTTTGCAGAATGGGAGTATTTAGGAATGAAAATGTTGTGAAATCAAGTGGCCTTTCATTGCTTAAATATCATTAAATAAATATTGTTTTTTTTAACCCCAACTCAGTTTCATTTACCAGATTGTAAAACAGTTATACAAAAAAAATGTCCACAGACCTGGTATGACCAAATACAATGGGAGTGGATTAAGTAAGGGTGAGCAGTTGATATTTTAGAAACAGAATTTCTAATAAAAATGTACATAATCCTGTGTTGACTGTAGGTAGGTTCGTGAGGGAAGTGCTCTGTACTCGTTTTTCCATGTTTTTCTCCCTGTGTTTTCTGTGTCTATAGCTGGAGCCAGGTCACACCATGTAGTCTTCAATATCATATGTTTGTTAACAACTTTTCATTAGCATTTTTTTGTTTACACATTACACATTGAGGAAAAAAAAAGAATAAAAACGGTAACGTTTTCTCCAGTGTTGAGAGAAGGGGTGTGCTGGATTTTGATTGTGTCGACCTAGATTGTGTTATTTTTCTGTTTCCGCATGTACANTTTTTTTTCCCCCCCCCCCCCCTGAGTTTCTCACATTTTGATGTTATGCCATGCAAAACTTTGTATTTATGTACTGTATAGATCTTCAGTATCATAAAATGAATAAATATTTTGAAATACTGAAAAAAATAAGCATTTTGAAATGGCTCTAAAATCAACATGGATAAGAAATATTTGTCTTAAGAATTCAAATTGGTAGAGCCTACTGTTTACAAATAATAATAAGAATAAACTGTTAACTTTCAGAAATGGATATATTGAATATATACTAGCGGAAAAAAGAAACTGTGCATGCGGAGAATTGTTATAGAACATGTATTACCAACTGTATATACATGAAAATTCACACGCATGACCGAGTATGACACTTACACACTATCCGTGCACGTGTGTCATTGAAAGTTTTTCCCATGCTGTTTGCTCTCTATAGGCGTTGACCAGTTTGCACGTTTTTCTCGTCCAGCCATCCAATTCGACAATGAAAGTTTATTTTTCAACTGTTGGGTCACTCTGTTGAGACAAGTGAACAGTAAAAACAGCATTATAGCGTTTTAATTTGTGATTAATGCTATGCCGAGGCTCAATGAAAATGACCGCCTTCGGATTATTGGTATGCTTCAAGCTGGTATGGGCCAAGCCGTTGTCTCTACACGTTTTCATGTCCATCGAAACACAATTCGGGATTTGTGGAGACGACATCAACAGTTTGGCCACGTCGGCGATCGACCTCGTGCGGGACGTCAACAGGACAACCATATTGGGCTTGTCCATTTGAGAAATCGCTTCCAAACGGCAAGTTTGACTGCACGGACAATCCCTGGGTTGCTACCAATAAGCCCGAGAACTGTACGGAACCGATTGCGTGAACGAGCTATCCGTCCGCGACGTCCTGCAATCCGCCAAGTTCTTCTGCCTCGTCATCGTGTAGCACGTATGGACTGGTGCAGAAGGCATCTGCGATTTACTCGACGGGATTGGGCACGCATTTTGTTTACGGACGAGTCGCGAGTCCACCTGGATAGTAGTGACGGCCGTTCCAGAGTGTATCGTCGCGATGGAGTACGTTTCCGTGACGCGTGTGTGGTACAACGACGTTCTTTCGGCGGAGGCAGCGTTATGATTTAGGGCGGCATCACAGCCAACGGGAGAACGCCTCGTGTGGTTGTTAACGGGAATTTGAACGCCCCACGTTACCGTGACGAGATCCTCCGGACCCACGTCGTTCCATTCGTGCAAGGGCAGCAACGTCACATTACGCTACAGCAGGACAACGCCAGGCCACACACAGCTCGTGTCGCTATGGACTGTCTGGCCCAGCAGAACGTTGACGTGTTGCCCTGGCCTGCTGCATCCCCCGATCTGTCGCCTATTGAACACGTCTGGGATGAAATGAAGCGCAGTTTACGGGCATTACCTAATCAACCGGTGACGTTGGCTGATTTGGATGCGGCGTTGGTACAGATCTAGAATGCCATCCCACAAGCATTCTTGAACCGTCTGATAGGCTCCATGCGTCGACGGTGCCAGGTACGAGGTATTAACTTTGTGAACTAAGTATTGACCCCTGCTGTGTTTACGTCACTCCTGAGCGGAACTTATTGATTCCATAACGTGGACAATGGAATGCAATTGTTAATAAATAACAAATAAATTGTCCCTGAAAACCTTGTTGTTCTACGTCATTCACATTTATTTTTATAACACATATTAGGCATGCACAGTTTCTTTTTTCCGCTAGTATTTTATCAAAAGTATACTTCATAACAAATTTTGTATTGATGTCCTTAGTGCGTGGATAAATTAAGGAGGAAAATTGATATATCTCAGCCAGATCAAATATTATCTTTACCAATTTGGTATAATCACTTAATCAAAATAGGCAATAATACTGTGTATTATAAGCGATGGTTTGATAAAGGTGTTTTTGTTTTGTAAATGTTCTTATTAAGAAAGATGGCAGTTTCCTTCAACAAAATAAATTTAATGATTTTTTTAATTTAAATATTAACTTTATTGATTATAATGGTCACAGTTTGGCAATAAGAAGGTTAGGCTGGAACTTTGAAAAGAAGCTTACACTTTTTGACTTCCATTGATACCACTGTATATCAATATAGTTATCAAACATAAAAAGGTACAAAAGATATGTACAATGTGCTGAACAAAAAGAGTGTAGTGCCTACATGTCAAATAAAGGGGGATAATATATTTGGAAATTTGCAATATTCACCCTTTCGTCGGGAATCTCTCTTCCTCTCTTCTTGCCCTTATGGTTCTCTTATCTTTATCTTTCTTTTTCTCAACCAATCTCTGCTTTTTAATCAAACTATACCCCAATCTCCATATCAATTTATTCCAGTCAATATATTGTCGATTGATTTTTCTATGTGTAACTTATATGCAAGTTATATTTGTGAACCAAATCTTGCAATTATGATTAACTATTATGTATTACTGCTTATTTAAACATTTTTTTTTTTTTTTTTATTTATTCAGGTAAGATACATTTAGCTTAATTCAAAGCCTTCTTGCAGAACAGAGGTGCATAAAATACTGGATGAATACGTCTTGAACGTATACCTAATTAAGAGAGTATTGATGTAAAGGAACGTAGCTGATGTATTCCATCCGCAGACGGTTCCTCATGTATAAGAATGTCTGGAATTAATAAAAAAACAAAACAAATAAAAAACGTTTTCTTTTCCGATTACATTATTTTATGATAAATATCAGTAGCGCAATAAAATAAGTGTCTTTGCTTTCTTTGGTATTTGTAATTAACGAAATAGTGTTTACCACACCGATTTATTCGCCCAAAATTAATCATAAGAAAAGATAGAGTTGATTTTGTTTTCCTGTGCCATATATACTGTTAATTGGGTATCAATAGCACGTGTGTCTATCTATAGTGAGTCAGATTCACTTTTTTGGCTGGTCGAGTACCCAAAATGGAACATTTCATCATATAAGTCAGTCTATGAAAATGACTAAGAGCATTTAAAGTATTTTCTTCCTTTAAAGAACAGTTTTGACAATTTCTGATAGATTTTATTCATTTATTCCCTAAAATATTCGTTTTGAACATATTGTTTTCTATGTTTAGAAATATGATAGAAAATTTATGTTTTCGCATCGTACTGTTTCCCGGGATTTTTTTTAATTTCACTTTTTTAATATTTCAATCGAGTTTATGAGCAATATTTAGTAGGCAGAGATATTTGTTCAAAACACATAAAACTATCTAAATTTTGATTGAGAATACATACCACTAATTTTTATTGCAAAATAAAAATTGTTGTGTCGTATCACGGAATTCTAAGTCCGTCCGTCGTCATATTATATACCTATAAAAAGTTTTCCATTTCGGATACCTCACCCTACAGCAGCGTACGTAACGTTAGGTTGCCACGGTGCCACTGAGAAAATGAAATGTATAATTATATACAATAACAGAGAATGTGTCATACATCCTCACTAATTCCACGGACTTAGATCTAATCTAATTCCGTGCTAATTCTATAGTAATCCGTTCAAAGGACAAAAGTAAATAAATATTGTATGAACAATGAGAAGTGCACAGCCACATGTACTAAGTTAGCCTCGTCTGTCAATACACCTATAATATTGTGAAGACGCACGGGTTAGCTTTACTTGTAATATTAAAAAATAGTGTTCTCCTCTTAATGTTACACGTAAAGCGATCCATGCCCCTGTGGTATTAGTACGTGTCCGCTATCCGTATTTGAAATACGTCTCTGTTTCCATAAAATTAATTTTAGCTTGTCACTTCCTGTCCTCCCTGTAAACCCACGTGGAGACCCCTATCTACTTCCTTTTTCCACCATGGGTTTACAGAACAAGGTGCTTGCAAAACTATGTGGTCGAATTCTAGTATATTTTGCTGTGTTAGGCAAAGTAATGGAAGAAAAAGAAACTAAACACTTATGGTGCTAACTTTTTCAATAACAAAATAACCAAAAAATGAGAAAATGTTATGATGGTTCCGTCTAGATTTATTCGAGTAGTGGCCAAGTTGCCTCGTGTCTCGACGGACCGCCAATGTAACGTGTTTATTTTGTCATTTTACTTTACTCGGGGGACAAATAAGCAATTACAGTTTTTGAATATGAACATATTGATCATTTGATAGTTTTGAATTTAAGTTGAGTATCCCGAAAGACTGATACATTATGCATTGCTGTCGATCGAAAATCACTAACGTAAAAACGATTGTAACTGGTGCAGTATTCCGCGAGTCTGCCAATTTTCTACAGGGTATTTTTTATAAAAATGTTTATCTTTCCTTCGTTTACGTGTGTGTCGGCGCGGGGAAATATTCATACCAATGAATCGATGACTTCTTTTGTCGCAATTTTCAGTTTTTAATTGTCTCTTCCTGTTTCAGCCCATCGTCATTGATGCCAGGGGCCATTTATTAGGCCGACTGGCAGCCCTTGTTGCAAAGACCATTTTACAAGGTATTCGTTTGATTTTTTGATTACAGAAAAGTTATATATATATTCATGTATGTCAATTTATGAATATTATGAGACCGAATTGTCTTTATGAATCCAATGATGCATACTATTCCTAAATGTCTGAACTTCTGAAATAAATATGAAGTGAACTATTGCTACTGAGGATTCCATTTTTAAACGTTATGTGACTTTCTATAGTAATTTTGATAATGAATGTTGTAGAGCTGTCACAAGGTGTCAGAAAACCAGTTTATTGCAATACACAGGCAAAGCATACCGTTTTGCAATAGAGAATCGGAAGTATCGCTGTATACAGTGTATAGCTAGGGGTGGGAACTAGTTGAAATTTCATGATCAGTACTTGGTTAAACAAGAGTTGACTTAATTAAATCTGGGCGATCCATATGATCTTGGCTGGTTCAGTGCAAACAAATTTTTATTATGACCATCTTCGAATTACACGAAATTATAGTCACTGAAATAAGGGGTAAATTCAACCGTATCAAGTCGTTCCAGCTTCTCCCGGTCCGGCCCCCTAGTAGTTCCGGCCCCTACCCGGTCCGGCCCCCTAGTAGTTCTGGCCTCTATATAGTGTTTTCCTTCACATTTCAACATTGAAATATGTTTTATGATTGGATCAAATGTTTACATAGATATGAATGTAACAGTTTTACATTTTGCATCGTGTGTATTTCTATCGAAATATTGCTCCATATGACAAAATTATTCTAATCAAGTTGCCGACTGTCTGTTTAGTTGAAATCATACACATTTGCATCTTCACACTTGGAAGATCGACAAAGATCGATTTCAACAAGATGTGATGACAAAAAAAATCAACGTCTGTCATCAAATAAAAGTAAAAACAAAGTCGGAAGACTATACAGCCATAGTGTTTACACGGCGTTTTCTAGAAGCCATACAGTTTCCAACGCACTAGGTAATAAGATGAACAAAAGACAGTGATTGAAATGTGTCTTAAATAGCAATCTTACTCCGTATGTTTACACAGGTGTATTTTGTTTTAGACAACATGTAAAATGAAAAGACAACAAATGAAAAAAATAATAATTTTATTTATTTAAAAAAACTAACATGAATTATCCATTATATGAATAAATTTAACTTAAAATTTAATTCCAAATGGACATAATAATATATATAATATATGAGGCCGGAACGACTTAGTATACGGGGCCGGTCCGGGAAGGGTCCGGAACTACTAAGGTCGGAACCACTCGGGGGGCCGGAACGACTTGTATTCAATCCAACTATCCGCGTAGGCATCTGCAAAAATCATGGTAAACGGTCAAATTGTTGATACAGAACAATGACAGCCTATTGCTTACATAATGATAATTGATTATGAAGTTACATTTGCATTTAATCACATTTAGCAGAGACAATGTGTAGGCTGCAAAGCAGTAGATATTTTCTCCAGTATTGACAGAATTGTAATGTATTAGAATGTGGAGGGTGGATTGAAACTAATAGTTTGCTGTTGATGCAAAAATAGGTAGGTTAAAGCACGTTTTGAGAGGCTATAATTGCATCGCCAATAGCAAACTTGATCAATAATTGCGTAATTTCAGTATTTTGTATTTAAACAATCGCAATGTAAGGAGGGTTCAAACCATCACTAGACAGACATTTTTTTTGTTCAAAAAGTGTGTTTGAATTATCCACCTATTGGAACTGACCAGAGGTTTTCCATATTTCAAATTGGTTGAATATATGTACCTCAATATATGTAGAATTACAGTAACATTTTTTAACAGAAACATCTTGCTAATGCAATATTGATCTCGATACTAATATAGAAAATTAGCAAATCCTTTTTTTATACTTGTGAGTTCAATGATGTATATTACCTACATTGTCTGATTCTTGATGTTAAAAAGATCTGAGAACTCAAAAAATTAAAATGTTACCTCTTTGAGTGTTAGTTAATAGTCCAACAGTATGGTAATTGGAAGATATCCTACAACAGCAACACTATATAATTTGGATTCCAAAATCTTGCATGACCGGTTAAGGTCGCAGTTAAAAGAAAACTTATGGGTAAAATTATTTTTATTTAAACAATCGCATTGTAAGGGGGGGATCAAACTATCACTAGACAGACATTATTTATTTTGTTGTTCAAAAAGTGTGTTTGAATTATGCGCCTATTGGAACTGACCAGAGGTTTTCCATATTTCAAATTGGTTGAATATATGTACCTCAATATATGTAGAGTTGCAGTAAAAAAGATTAACAGAAACATCTTGCTAATGCAATATTGATCTCGATACTAATATAGAAAATTAGCAAATCCTTTTTTTTATACTTGTGAGTTCAATGATGTGTATTACCTACATTGTCTGATTCTTGATGTTGAAATAATCTGAGAACTCGAGAAATTAAAATGTTACCTCTTTGAGTGTTTAATAGTCCAACAGTATGGTAATTGGTAGATATCCTACAACAGCAACACTATATAATTTGGATTCCAAAATCTTGCATGACCGGTTAAGGTTGCAGTTTATAGAAAATTTAAGGGTAAAGAAACATCAAACTGAAAGCACATTCTGCTACATGTAGTTTATTCATATCTGATAGTAAAATTCTGTTTAGGAAACAGAAGTTCATTGTATAATGAACACTGAGCTTTTTATGAATCCAATGATGTACATTATTCCTAAATGTCTGAACTTCTGACCTAAATGTGAAGTTAACTATGAATACTGAGGATTCCATTTTAAGTAAAAGTGTACAGAATGTTGTAACATTTTGCATATCTTGTATTCTGTATATAACATGCTTTTACACAATATAATGAAACCAAAAGAAATATTAAAAAATTGCTGCAAAAAAGAGATCCTATAGTAAAATATATTGCACATAATTAAGAGCATTAGCTTGTATAGTTATATATACATGTATTGCAGACAGATTGGAAGAAAACAAGTTTCATTAACATTTCAGTTTTAAGAACGGGGATGACTTTCACAAGGTGAATATAAGGGCATATTGTACAGATCCCATAATTTCAGATAGTTACCATGACATCTGATTGTTTGATAACTTTTGGGTTACTTCTTTAGTTCTGCAGATCTGATTTTATTCAAACCTGGTGCAAAACAGTCCTGTTCAGATATCTACTTCAAGGAGAAATTCAATGCGGCTTTTGTTTCGCAAAAAAAGGGGAATACATGCATTTTGTAAAAAAAAAAACCTTCTAAATTTCTATAATACTAAGTAACATTGCTTTTCTTTACAGGACAAAGAGTTGTTGTTTTGAGATGTGAAGGTATCAATATCTCTGGAAACTTCTACAGGAACAAGCGTAAGTAAAATTTTGCAAAATATGTTGCACATTTATTTTTGAGAAAGTAAAGAAAGAAAGCCCTTGTGATTTTGTTTTCCGAGTGCTCTTAGTCCTAGCTGTATGCTAACTTTGTAAATAAAAGTATTCTGATAAACGTAAAGAGTAAACTAATTAAAGTTGTTTTTCAAAAGGAAAACATTGGTTTATACAGAACATATTGTGATATATTAAGGCCCAGTGGGAGCCAACAATGTATTGGCAAGTTAATTAGAGCACAAATATGATGACCAAAACTTACCTACATTGTCTGATGTAAATGAAGACAACAATGATTCTGATTGTGCTTCTTGGTAAATTGTGGATGATTAAACAAAAATCCCTCTATACAAATCAAAACAGATTGTTTATACATGTGCATAATCTATTCCCGTTGTTTGGTCCGGATCAGTTCAGTCACTCCTGTGTAATTTGCATAACCTAAAAAATGGTGTTGCTCGGGTGTGAAATTTGAATGATTGAAAACAGAAGACTCTACTGACAGAATGTAGCAGCGGTTGGTGATAATAAGGGCAGTTTTGGATCAATAAATAAACCATTTAACGATATATGTTTGAGGTATTAGTGTATGTGTATGCTGTCATAGTAGATTTTTGTAGTCGGCACCTGTGATACCAAACAGTGCAGGGATGTAAAAATGTTTTTAATGATTCTAGCCCGGGGCTAGTAGACAATAATAATACAATAGCCAGAAATAAAATTTTGCTAGCCTGACAAATACCAAATTGATCAATCTGACAACATGATCACATGGTCTATATCTCATTCACAGATGGATGTTTTCCTTCAAAAAAAATAAAAGTTATGAAATAACTAAATAGCTTAAAAGTTATTAAAACATGAACCAAATATAGATAGAAATTGTAGTGAAACTACCTGAAATTTACAGGTTTAATATTTTAATTGGTTACCATAACGAAGATGGAATGGAACAGAAGCATTTTTGTTAGTTGTGACATCCTAAAAAAATTCTTTCCCCAGGCTAGTGGATTTTTACACCCCTGCAGTGTCGAGAGAATGCCACATTTTCATACAATAGTGCGTTCTGGTCCCCAAACTAGACATTTAAGATAGTTTTTGTTCAATTTTTGTGGTTTTTTTAAGCTTGTGTTATTAAGGTGGATTTCTATTGTAGTTTTAATTTGTTAATAAATTTGCAATATCAATATTGATATCAGAAAATGGATGAAAGATTGATGATGGGATGGGAAAATTAGAAATATAACTATAATAAAGTGGTCAGTGGTCAATTCACAACAAAGTAATATTATTTTACTTGTTAGTTGTCTTCAGTTGCACATGTATTGCTACGATGGGTAAAGGATGGCACAAATGATGACCAAAACTTACCTACATTGTCTGAAAAATGTTGACGACAAACTTTGTCTGAATGTGCACATCTCGATAGTCATGCAAATTAAATATTAGTAGGTTATCAATGGGAATGTACTGGTAATTTGTCTCTGAATTTAAAATGTTGCTTATATAACTTTTTCTATTTCAGTGAAGGTATTGAAGTACCTGAAGCTGAGGTGCAATGTCAAGCCAACGAGAGGACCTTTCCATTTCAGGGCACCAAGTAAAATGTTTTACAAGGCAGTGAAAGGTATTGAAGGATACATTGTTATGAAAATAAATATAGATAGATAATAGTGGACAAATATATGATGACACATCCTTACCTACATTGATTTAAATATGAAATCAATTATCTTCTCTGATATTTGTCCATTGAAAATCGATTAATATCTATGTGAAATTGAAAAGGAATACCAACATTGAGAAAAGAAGTAGTAGATTATAAAATGAATTTTTTGAATAGTCGGGATCATGTATATTAAAAAAAACCACATACTCTTTAAAATGGAGTGAATGTTACTTCCCGTGTTACATACAGTTTTTAGCATAGCAAGAAAATATATGATCTGACACAGTACCTTGATTCTTGATCAGATATATAGAAAAAAAAACAATAAATTACACCATGTTTCAAAGTCATGGAGTTACTTTCATCAGACAGTCCAGGTGAAAGTGTAGGGCTTAAATATGAATTGTTTTAGGAAATCAATTGACATGTTTAAAAACATTGATGCAAAAAAATGTGTTTGAGATTTTAAATTATTATGAATTGCAATTTGTATGCAATTTTTAATCAGACAAATGAATGATGATGAAACCTTACCTACCTTGATTAATATATGAAATCAGTATTAAGTCTGAAGTTTTGTCTGATACAGCTAATGTTATTGTCATAAATAGACTTGAGAGCTTTGAAATTTGGTAAAATAACACTTTCAGGTATGTTACCACACAAACTTGCAAGAGGAAAGGAAGCCCTAAGCAGACTGAAGGTGTTTGAGGGTGTTCCTGCCCCCTATGACAAACAGAAGAGGATGGTTGTTCCCTCCGCTTTGAAAGTCCTAAGGATCCACCCAGGCAGAAAGGTACTAAATGTTAAAGTCTCTGTCCTGTACTACAGGACGGGACTAGAAATTTGAACTCTATCCATGAATTCATCCATTCATCCCATTCTGTGAGACATATCTCACATTCTGTCGCCTACAATTAACAAAAGTGTATGCGTGTACGTGTTGGACTGGCAGAGTGTTGCATACCAAAATTAATACTAGTGTCCCACTATCTAGAATTGTGGCCTTTTGTTCACCCCACAACATTATTGTTTGGGGTACCTTTCATCTTTAATGCAGTCTACATTAACTTGAGGAAATGGAATAGAGATGTCTATTGGTTAAACCAAATGAAATTATAAAGCAAAAGTAGTCATGTATACAAACATGTGAATATTCAACTACTACTGCTTGTAAATGATGAATGAACTTCACCGATTCATTTTACAATGAATATGTGATCATGGTCTTCTACCACCAACTGAGGCAAGCATTTGTTAAACAAAGATACAAACAGATTAAGGGGACACCATTAATATGGATTCAAACTGTTGAGGCAATGAAGGTTATTTAGAAATAAGCAATTTGATATACCATGCATTTTACAAGTTCCAGCATAATATCATGTTTCAAAATCAGTCTCCCTCATTATTTGACCGTTACTTGTATCTAAAGAGAATGTTTATAAAAGATAATTGTTTTGTTTGTAAGGAATTATTGAAAGTTTACCGATGATTAAAGTATGAAAAATTGAAGAGTTTTGAAAGAAGGGACAATTTTTTTTATTGTAAAACGAAATTTATTTGTCTTTCATGAAGTAAGTGAAAACACTCTAATCTTGATACTCTGATTGCTTGTCAATGATGAGGAAACATGTCACCGAATCAACATTGACATGCCATGAAAACAATATCATGTACCACCAACTGAGGCAAGCACAGAGAAACCAAGAATTCTTTGAGTTGAATAAGACCCTTGTTTTTCAGAATAATGAATCTTTATAATTTAGAGTTTGGAAAAATTCTTACTTTCCACGAAGATTTTCATTGGAAAAAAGGATATGTGTTGAAGTTGTTGGATGGAATGTAGTCTGAATTTTTACCCTTAATGGAAAAAATGCTTTCTTCATAATTCAGGTGATTAACAGTTCAATAAATCTCTTACATAAAAAGCAATATCTCAATTTAAGTTGGGGAAATGTGCTGTAAATAAACACTTGCTTGTTAGTGATGAGAAACCATGTCACCGAATCAACATTGACATGCCATGAAAACAATATCATGTACCACCAACTGAGGCAAGCACAGAAACCAAGAATTCTTTGAGTTGAATAAGACCCTTGTCTTTCAGAATAATGAATCTTTATAATTTAGAGTTTGGAAAAATTCTTACTTTCCACAAAGACTTTCATTGGAAAAGATATGTGTTGAAGTTGTTGGATGGAATGCTAGTCTGAATTTTTACCCTTAATGGAAAAATTTGCTTTCTTCATAATTCTGGTGATTATTTAACAGTTTAATAAATCTCTTACATAAAAAACAATATCTGGATTTAAGTTGGGAAATGTGCTGTAAATAGACACCTGCTTGTTAATGATGAGAAACCATGTCACCGAATCAACATTGACATGCCATGAAAACAATATCATGTACCACCAACTGAAGCAAGCACAGGGTGACGTTTTTCTTCAAACTTGTGAAGTGTGAATGATACTTGGCTGTTGCTGGTCTTCAGGTTTATATTTGACATTAAACATTGCAACAGTCAATCAATTAGATAAGTTAATTTAAAACCATTTGATTTAGTGATGTGACCCAGAGATAAGGTTGATCATGTATCAATTTAGTGGAAGACCAATAGTCATTATCAATATAAAGATAGATGTCGAACTATGAGGAAATATGGACATTTTGACACAGTTTCAATATTAACGAAATGCAGAAAGAATTGATTATAATGCAATAATAAAACCATTGAGATTTTAAACATGGAGTAATATAACCTGGAACTTGATTTCTTATACTTTCTTTGAAGTTGCAATTAACATGCTTGGTGCACTAAAAATGCTTGTAATGATGAATGAACTTCACCGATTCATTTTACAATGAATATGTGATCATGGTCTTCTACCACCAACTGAGGCAAGCATTTAGATATAAGCAGATTAATGTGACATTATAGCTTTAAACTTGTTTTTTCCATAAAGATCAGAAGATAAGCATTTCAATATTTTATGTATTATTCCAGTTTCTAGGCTAAATATTTTGAAATTTTGATAATCGGTTTCCCACAGTATTTGACATCTATAGTTTCCAGTGCAAATAATTTTGTGAAAAAGATGATGTTTTTAGGAATATTGGAAGTTTGCCAGTACTATAGTCAAGGTGTGAAAATGAAGAGATATGAAGTGCAAAATCAAATTTGTAGATTTGTACTTTCGAAAAAATAGTTATCTTGATGCTCCAGTTGCTTGTTAATGATGAGAAACCATGTCACCGAATCAACATTGACATGCCATGAAAACAGAATCATGTACCACCAACTGAGGCAAGCACCGAGATACTAAGAATTCCTCGAGGTGAATAAGACCCTTGTTTTTAGAACAATTAACCTCCTTTATAATTAAGAGGTTGAAAAATATTTTTTTTAATAAAAAAAAAAGGGGGGGGGTTGTGATGAAGTTTTTAGATAGAATGCTAGCTTGAATTTTACCTTCAAATGAAAAAGTAAAACCGAGGTATTCATTATCTCTTGTATGAAAAGCAATATCTCGATTTAAGTTGGGAAATGTGCAGTAAATTAAACACCTGCTTGTTAATGATGAGAAACCATGTCACCGAATCAACATTGACATGCCATGAAAACAGTATCATGTACCACCAACTGAGGCAAGCACAGGACGATGTTTTTCTTCAAACTTGTGTAATGTGAAAGATAATACATAAGAAGGCTGTAGTTGATCTTCAGGGGTATTTCAGACATTAACTATCGCAACAGTCGATCATTTGGATAACTTGTATGTTTCAAATCCTCTCGTTTACATACTGACGTCTACTCGATTTATTTATCTGACCCAGAGATAGGGTCGATAATGTTTCAATTTAGTGTTAGCCCAACATTCATTATCTGTGATCGATATACATGTAGAGCAATTGTGAAATATTCACATTTAAAAATGTTTCAATATTAATAAAATACAAAAGAATACATGCTGTCATTAGACCATTTTGAGACTGCACATAGGTTAATAAATCTCTGAAGTTGCAGTTTAATTTTACATCAATATGCTTGTTAATGATGAATGAACTTCACCGATTCATTTTACAATGAATATGTGATCATGGTCTTCTACCACCAACTGAGGCAAGCATTTGTCCAAGATATATATGTAGATGAAAGGGACTAGGGTTTAAAAAAATAAACTTTTATCTAAATAAAGCATAAATAAAGGAATTTGTGTATCTAAAATATGTTTGTGGACAGAATATCTGATATAAAAACCATTGTCTCTCCCGATCGGTATGTAATGCCTCTTAATGGAATTTATGAAGTAACATAATGTGTTTTTGGCATGAATTTTTTGTTATTGAAAGAATTTATAATATCAAAAAAGTGTGCCAGTACTCAATCATGTAGTAAAGGTAACAACAAGTTATATATATAGGTTATTGGATAAAATAGATTAATCTTGAGAGATGAAACAATTGATACTTCAGCTGCTTGTTAATGATGAGAAACCATGTCACCGAATCAACATTGACATGCCATGAAAACAATAGCATGTACCACCAACTGAGGCAAGCACAGTGAGATATAGGAAGGCTGTAGTTGATCTTAAGGGTTTTATCAGACATTAACCATTACAACAGTCAATCAATTATATGCAAGTTAATTTAAAATGATATTGTATTCATATACTGCAGTCTGCTTGATTTTGTATTTGTCTTGTGACTCAGAGATCAGGTTGATAATGTTTCAATTTAGTGTTAGCCCAATAGTCATCGTCTTGGATCGATAGATGTCAAGCAATTGTGGCTTTGACATGTTTTAGTATTAATAAAATACAAAAAAAGTACATTGAGGCTGCGACAAGACCATTTTCATATATTCAACATAGGGTAATACTTGGGTGTGATCTTTAAAGTTGCAGGTTTATGTACAGCACGTGTAGTACACTTTAGATGCTAGTTAATGATGAATGAACTTCACCGATTCATTTAAAAATGAATATGTGATCATTGTCTTCTACCACCAACTGAGGCAAGCATTTGTTCAACAAGACATAAACAGATTAAAGGGACAGCATTAGTTATTCAAGCTGTTTCGACATCAAAAGAAAATTTAGTATGAGCAATGCATGTTGTTTTGGTTACTTTAAGAAGCTATTAAACAGGTGTGCCAGTATACAGTCATAGTATAAGAAACAAGTTCAAAGGTCATTCAATCTTGAGGGAAGATACAATCGAAACTCAGCTGCTTGTTAATGATGAGAAACCATGTCACCGAATCAACATTGACATGCCATGAAAACAATATCATGTACCACCAACTGAGGCAAGCACAGTGAGATATAGGAAGGCTGTAGTTGATCTTTAGGGTTTTATCGGACATTAAACATTACAACAGTCAATCAATTATAAGTAAGTTAATTTAAAACCATCTTGTATTCACTCCGCAGCTTACTCTTATTAGTGATACGGTTGATAATGTTTCGAGTAAGTGGTAGCATAGTAATTTTCTATGAAAGATGTCGAGCTATGATGAGATATTGACATTGAGGCCATGATAAAACCATATAGATTTTGAACATCAGCTTATATCACTATTGGTACTTTATTAGTACCCCACCGGGAACCGGGGAGACTAGTTTTGTGTCGTGTCCGTCCGTCCTTCTGCTATCTTGTCCGGGCTTTATCTCCTGCACTACTAGTCACTGGAACTTCATACTTTAGGTATTGGTTCACCTTGGTGAGGCGGTGTGTTGTGTATCAAAAGTAGGTCACTTTGACCTAGCTACATCAAAGAAAAAGTTTGTCCTGGCTGTATCTCCTACACTACCAGTTATTGGAACTTCTTGCTTGATGCATGGGTTCACTTGCATTGAAGAAGAAGCATACATAGTGTCACCAGATTTATTAGCAATAGTAGCACCTACACAATTCCTCATTGTATACGGTGGGTCTGTCAAACATTCATATATAGAATTAATTCCTGCATGAATTTATCATCTTTGCATTTCACATATGGTGGGAAAATAATTCAACGAATTGTCTTGTTTCATATACTTTCTCTGATGTCTCAAATTTACATGAAGTGCATTCGATTTCAAGTTTTCTCCGCATGGTATTTGTAAATAAGTAGTAATGTTTTGTTTGATTTTGCATGTGTTAACACACTTTTATCAGATAGTGCGCTATTCAAATTACCCTTCTTCCTCTGTCTGTCCTTAACCTTGACCGGGTTTTCGGGTAGTGCAGTGGATAGCCCTTTTGCCTTTCACCAAGGCGGCTGTGGTTTGATTCCGCGATCGGACGTGAAAAGGTATGGGGTCACCTGCCTGACCATGTGGGTTTTCTCCGGGTACTCTGGTTTCCTCCCACAATAACAAGACCTCTGTGCTAACATGTGGGCCAACAAGAGTGATTAATATAAGTTGAAATAACTTGTTTCATTATTGTTGTGAAATAAATAAAGGTTATATATGTCCTTAAACAATTCTTGTTAACTCTAATTGTCAGAAAAAATATATTTCAAATTACACATGCAAGTTCCTGATGATCCTTAGTTGTACATATATATATATATTTCAATTTGTTGATGTTGCTGAAAGATCAACATCAGCTGGAGACACACTGACATCACAGACTGGAACACCCCCTAGCGGACAAGACAAGACAGCGGACGCTACACTACACTACTGTACAGACGTCCCACTAATCTACAGATCCCAGCCTATATCATAACCACAAATATCTACGGCTATTTAGCTACTATCTTCAAATAAAACTCTCGACACTGACCACACTTATAAAATGCATAACAAATTATATGTACACTTTAAACAAATAAATGACTTAAAAATGCATTACAGTGACTATGAAAAACCAATAAGATATATTAGGGTCGGCATGAAAAGATTGGTTTGGTCGGGTTTTATTTGGCCTAAGTGTTAATAATTAACAATTGTAAAACAGCTTTAACATGTCAACTTGTGCAATTGACAAAATTATTTTGCCAACTGAATTGGCTGTTCACTATTTTCTTTTCCATTTTAGTTTTGTGACTTAAACCGTCTAGCCCATGAAGTTGGATGGAAGTACCAGACGGTGATTGCAACCCTTGAGGCTAGGAGGAAGGTCAAATCTAAGCATTTCTACCAAAAGAAGAAAGAAGCTGCAGTAAGTTACTAAAATAGTTAGTTTTACACGTTTAAAGCAGTAGCTATGTGGTAAAATTACTTGTCATATTTGATTTAATCAAAGTTTTCATGCAATGGCTAGTGGAGCTCTTAATTTGACAATTTGTTCCCTTCTGAAACAACAAGTCTTTCACTAAAAAGATATTTTTATTTAAATTTTAATGGCAGTCTATTTTTGGTGACAGACGTCTAATTCACAAAATCAACTTGACAACTTACAAAATCTGAAACAAACAAAATGCTGGAATATTACAATAATAGTTGAGAATTATATCTATATTTATATATCTAAAATTGAGCCCTTATTTCATTGATTGTGGTATTTAAAAGATAATGTTTACCATTGAACTTGAGTTACTATTAATCTGAAATAAACCTATTTTATTTACCATGTTCAGATTTGCATGTTATTATAATGAGTTTGTTAGCAATTTTGCACCGTTATCATTTCAGGTGTTGAGAGCCAAGGCCACGAAGAATGTGGCATCCAAAATTGCACCATACCAGAAAGTGATTGAGGCCTACGGTTTCAGTTAAACTGTGTATTATAGAGTAAATAAAGCCTGTGGACAGTGATATTTAGTTCTGTTTTGGATGTAATGATGCAGGTTCAACTAAAAAATACACCAAGTATCTGAGAAATGATATCTGTAAATAGATGTACCACAGATTTGATTTTTTTTTCCATAAATGGAAAACATCTTGCAATGTAAAATGGTAGTTATTTAATCTCTGGTTTTAATCCTCCATCAGTTCTACAGAAGGGGGAAAAGTTTGCACTTTGTCAAGTAGTTTTAATACCTCTATATACATATAACGTCATTCGATTCTGTCATCTACAATTGCAATATTTGTAATTTTTGATTCCAAAGTTTGTGCAGAGTGAGCTTATGCCGTGGTGCGGCGTCCGTCCGGCGTCCATATTCTACTTTAAACAACTTCTTGATAACCAAAAGGCCTAGAGATAATGATATTTGGCCAGAAGCAAACTGGGATGAAGGGCTACAAAGATTGTTCAAATAAATTACCTTCACCCATATTCAAATATGATAAAACTTTAAACAACTTCTCCGGATAATCAAAATGCGCAGGGTGATGATATTAAGCCAGTATAGCATGCTGCAGTACATTTCATTTTGTACTGTCCCTTGTTGGAAATCTTCAAAGAAAAAACAGTTTTATCACACGACAAGCCAAAATGATGGGACAGAGAACGTGACGAGAAATATGTCAAGGCGTCTGCACATTTCTTCAACTTGCCAATGCCGCAATGGTTTACTTTATTTAAGTTTCATATCTACTAATATAAATCCAATGAGAATGTATTGGAAATGGTCAAACCTTTCTTTTATTGCAATAAATGTCGGGAGAAAACTAGAATATGCGGGGAAATACCACAAATGTGCACAGGGATATGACGCATCAATATTTCGAATCTTTAAGTGCCAGTTCGAAGTAAAACTTGCATAACATGTGTCTGTAACATAAAAATGATGGTCAAGATATTACATTTGAGATCCTTAATATTCACTTATTTATATTGAAACAACTTCTTCTAAATAACCAAAATGCCCAGGATGTTGATATTCGGCAATTGGTATGCTAGGACGATGGGCTACCAAGTTTGTTCAAATGAATGACCTTGAGTTATTTTCAAGGTCACAGGAGAATCAACATTCTAAAATCTTTTATAGCTGATGTTCTTTTAATTTAGATGCATTGTAGCATAGCCATTTCGTATGATCAGATCCCATGCCATTTAGCTAACAGCTGAGGTGAATGTTTTTAAGTCGGGTTATATTTAAAGATTTTGAATGTGCCAAAGGTGCTCTCAAATAATCGGATTGAACAGATGCATACCATGTGGAGCTGGCAGTAAAATGGTAGAGAAATTGTCAAACTTGCTGATAACCAAATGACGTACTTGGATCGGGTTCATTATTACAAATTCATGTGATTTCTGACGTTAATGATTATTGTGTCCGAGTGATGATATTTAGCAGGGGAACTCAATCTTCAGTACCGGCCAAGGGGTCCTTTGTCCAATTAATCTTGATGTTTTTTTAAGTAGGGGGTTGGGGAATTTTGCCACAGCATCAGGTGGGGAAAATTGTGTTAATCATTACAAGAGATGCAGATCTTGCTCAAATTTCTATTATATATATATTTCATATAAGCTCAAAGCTGATCGATCAGAAGAAACAAATGTGTTGTCGGGATCATGTATTATTGTAGTATTTTGTTCAAATAAAATATACAGTATAGTAATTGAACATAAACTTTCGTTTGAGACAGTGGTATTGTTCTGCAATAGTTGACTTAAAACTCGGGCACCTGCAAATTAGATTTGCTTGACGATTACCTTTGCAAATCGGTTACTAGTAAGTTTAACCTTCAAACTTCAAACTGCTGGAGAC